ACTGTCTCAGCACAACCGCAATTACTGCCGCTTTCGCACAATTACCTTTCTGTTTTTACTGCAAGGGCTTGGGATCCATGTGAGAGCCCGCTTGTCTCGACTGAGTCGGAAAGCAGTCGGTGGGCAAGCGTTCGAATCAGAAATCCTGCGAATCATAGTGCACCTGCCAGTGGGTGAAGCAAGGCGTGCAGAATCGAAGCACAGGAATGCAGGCCTTCTCAAGGCAAAGGCCATGAGGAGGTAGACCTTTCGACGGCGTAGCATGCAGTGTTCAGGTTCGGGTTAGTGACGTGTGGAGGCTACTGGTGCAAAATGCCAAGCGGCATGGAAAGGCAAGTGCCGGGGCCATCGTATCCTTGCAGGCGAATGGAACTGTCTTGCGCAGGCGTTGATCGTTATCAAGCCACATTGATCCAGTGCACTGTGCATTGCCTTTGCCTGCTTTGCTTTGTCAGGCGATGCCTGTCTGTGGCAACTTGCGGGTGCAGCAAGTCTTCAGCATACGTCCTTTCAATCCCACTGTCAGCGCTGGCCACTCAGTTTCAGGCCTGAAGCAGTTCATCGATCCGGTCCACTGCCAGGCGGCCACATGCCGCCATTACCTGCGCTGAACTTCAGGACCTCCATTTAATTTAAAAGCACATGACTCAAATTTTGCCGGCGTCGACCCCAACAGTGTAAGACTAAGCAAGACCTTCAACCCAGAACCGCCCAAGGCCCCAAGAGCACTCCAAGATGTCCAAGACAATTTAAAAAAACCTCCAAGACACGCGATGGCACTTCTGCACAACAACGCCGACGCAACACCGCGGTTTGCAAATCCTACCGGAACGAAAGCGCGAAGCGAACTCCTCCCGAGGCTCAGCATGGCAGAAAGATGCAGAAAGGCCCCTGTGCATCTCCGCGGCACGGAGCGATTCAAGCCGGAAAAAGTGCACTGGACCAAGGCGACAACACATTGAACACATCAAAATGTATGGAAGGCGCATCGCACCTAGGGGAGCGATCGAGAATGCGAAAACCGTGCTACTTGCGATGTTGCGGATGCTGCGGCGGCAAATATGGAAAATCAGGGAAGCACCGAGAGCCAGAATCAACGAGACGGTCATCCTCGCCCCGTAGGAACCCCATAGGCCCATAGTGTAAGCAGCGTTTGGGTAACTGACTTCGGATCACTGCACCCTGAGGCCGGGCACGATACAACCGACGATGTTGCGAACCATCCTGAAAATGGCACCGTCCAAGTTGACCTCATGGTGCGACGTCTTGATATGTCTTGTACAGCCTAGGCAGTTCAAGGTGCTTCAAGCAGGTTTTTTCTGTATTTTTGCGGCAGCCTCGATCCGACACGCTCCAGGACCTTCCTCAACCTGCCATGGAACGTGCTGTCCGGGGAGCGCAGAGACCATCATGCCGGGAGTACCACATTTAAGCTGCGGATGGTTCGGACTGTGCCTGCAATCCTTGTGCAGCTTGACTCATGGGTGAATGCTGAGTGCCGCTAAGCCGAATCTCCACATGAGGTCCTGTACCGGTCCAGCTTGCTTGTTTGGGTGAAGTACCTCGCGGTTGCGCCATGACTTGGGCAGCATGCTCAAGCTAGTGCAGCTAGTGCTGATTCGGACACAAACAGTTCAACAAGTACTGTATCAAACGCTGCTTCGCAAATATTGAAAACCTCACAAACGGGTGGGCGTCCAGACATGTTCGGACTCCAGCAAAAGAAAAATAAATGGGCTGTCCGCGACTCCTTCCCAAATGCAGGGGCTTGTGCCGTGCTTGCGCGAACTTGCGCCGTGCAGCGGGGCTCGAAATCGTTTTCGTGGAGGCTCATCACAAAGACAGTCTGAGACAGCTGGTAACTCCTTCCCATGCGCCGTTCCGTGGCCATGCTTGCGCACCTGGTTTCTGACAAGTGTTCGTTAAACATGGTTTCCCCTGATCTGACAACATAGACCCGACCAGTGTAGCCCCGCTGCGTTGTGAAAGCAAGCTGCCCTCTCGGCTTGAAGGAGATGTGATTAAAGAGGGCTACTTCAGGCTAAGCCGGAGCTCAAGCACCTGCCCTGACCAACCTTGCCAAGACAAGGGTCTTCAAGGCCCCAGTCAAGCCAGGACATGCTTGTGGAACGCCACATGTTTCCACTTGAGCCTCGAGCCCTAGGGGTTACGTAAGACGATGTAAGACGTTTGCGGATGGTGTGGGGCCTTGTTCTTTACCCCCTCCCTTCCCCGCCCTTCCCTCGCCTTGGGCTGGCCCCCCTTTCATACCCATTAGCCCTGCAACAGCTAGCTTTCCTGCAAGTTGCCGCTGCCGGGCGAGGCGGGTCGCGCAGCGGTAAACATGAAGCGGACTTCCCGAGCTTCACTGCGAGTATCTGCCAATGCTTCAGCCTCTGCAAGCATCTTTCCCTGCGCGCACCGAAAGTCCTTCTCGCCAATGAACTTTGAAGCAGCTGCGCGGAGAAGATCGCCGTCGAATGTACGTGCCTAATGCAAAAGCAGATGCCGTGGATACATCAGCTCTTCGTTCGTCCGGCGATCTCAAGCATGTCGGCTCCACCCAGCCGGCAGGTATCTGATACCTGTAGAACCTGCAGGAAAGCTCATCTAGACAAATCTTCAGCCCGCTGTGAGCCAGAGTAATAGGGCTACCTCTGCAGCGGGTCTGCAGCATTTGTACCATAGTGCAGACGGTAGACCTGGCAGCGGAACTGCATTTTTCCGTGCTCCATGCGCAATCGTTTGCGCTTAGCGCTGCCGTCTTGGGGCCAGCGCGTAGGTCTTGCCGCTGGCAGAGAAGGTGGCATGGAAGTCAGGAGGGGCATCCTGGAAGCTCCTGAGAAAACTGTCTCAGAAAACTGTCTCAAATGGATTAGCTTCCTTCGCTTCTTGCAAGCCCCTTTTGAGTTGTTCTTTCCTAGAGGACTTACAGAGTTACAGAACACTCTGGCTGCAAGGCAGCTCCAGTTCCAAATGCAGTAAGGCACACAAAAACTTGCGGCAAAGGAGCCAGATCCGTATGTCTGATGGCAACTGCGCAGCAGATGCAGAGATCAAAGGCGGCAGCTTTACACATGGCTTTCTCCAATGCGCAGTCTCTCCGCCTGCTCATTCACCCGTTTCTCCCAGAGCTCCTCGAAACAAGCATCGGATGGCTTCTGCCACAGAGAGACAGAGAGAGAGCGAGAGCGAGAGCGAGAGAGCCAGAGAGCGAGAGCGCGAGAGAGCGAGAGCGCGAGAGAGCGAGAGGGAAAAAGCACAGACATAGAGACAGACGGAGTTTGTAAATGTTGTAAGTTTTCTGTGCGATGAAAAGGAAGCGTTGTATCTCTTTGAGTGGAGGCAGGAAGATGCAGGAATCAGACACTGACTCCATGCGTGCTGTTGTGTCTGCCTTTAACTTCACACCCGAATGTAAAGACGAGGCCTGCCAGTTGCTTGGTCTTTCAGCAACGATCGCATCTGGAACGTCAAAGTGTGCTGCCTGTCATGCGTCGCAAACATTCGCAAACTCGACTGTTGACCATTCAGAACCGCATTCGGAATCGCAGGGAAAATCGCACTTTTCCTATACCCTTCGGCCCTGCGGCCTGGCCCCGCGCGTGGACACCGGCATCCGTCCTGGCGAGGCCGGGCACTTGCCAGGTGCACTCGACTTGGCCACGTTGGGTGTGGTGCGTCCTGCTGGCCCCACAGCTAAAGATTTTCTGTCGCAGCAGCAGCGACATAGCACCTGCAAGCGGATGAGCGCGGGGAGGAACCTACAAGGCGTGCTCACGAGCTCGTTCCTCAGGCCAGTTCGGTCCAGTATTCCAGCCACAGTCAAAGGCGACGCGTTTTTAACCTCAGCAACACTGCGATCAACTGTAGTGTTGCACCCTTGTCGCCCTTGTAATCATTTGCAAAGGTGGAGTAGGATGGACATGGGGGCCCAGCCCTGGCCCAGCCATTGTACTGACTGCCGTCCTTGTACAAATCAAAAACAAACACGCTTCCCATCGCTTCTCTCATGGACTGAGCCCCCGCACGTATGAGGCCCGAAAGCGAAGACGACGGAAGCCCGGGGAGACCAGCGAACGCCTCTCTGCACCTTCCAAAGCCTGGCGTTGTGCCACAAGATTTCGCTGCCTTAACTTCTTGGCCTATTTCTCTGTTGCCAGTATGCACCCTGCCTCGTCCACTCCGATAAGGTCTGTGGAGAGTTCCGGGCTCTTCTGGGGCCTCGCCAATTCGGCATCCTCCCGTGCCTAAGAGAGCACCATGGAAGCGAGCTGGCCAGCCACGTGTCTTCACCAGGCGGAGGAGGTCACCGTACTGCTTGCGTTGGGCCGCCTGAGACAGGCTTCGTCCAGATGGCATGCCGGACACGTGCGACTCTGCCTCTCGGCTGCGTTCGGCCGGAAGCGTCTTGGCGAAGGCCAGGCAGGCCAAAAACGGCATTGACTCGGCGAGGTTGATAAAGCAGGGTAGAGTTACGTCAGCTCAGCTAGCTATGTTCCATGCTGAAGAAAGTGCCCATGACATCGAGGCGAGGCCCCAGTCCATCTGGGGAATGTGCACCGAGGGTTGCAGCCACCACGACGCGCCCACGTCCGCAACGCTGGCGCCGTGCGCGCATCTTGCGGGCAGAAGATAAGTCGTCGCTGTGGTTGAAAGCCCTCAGAGCACTACAGTAGACAAGAGCCCTCTGTGTCAGCGCCTGCACCGAGCTCGTCAAGCTGCTCATTGCCCAATGGCCGGTGCTCTAGCATTGTCACTTAAGGCACAAGCACAATTTGTGGTTTACCACTGGTTGCACGCGCTTTTTTTGTGGCTCTGCTGGGAACTAACTAGGTTCTGAACCTGTATGTTGAAAAGGTACTTCCATCTGATCATGCTGCCAGTGCTGAGGCGACCGCACGTCATGCCCATATTATTTATGCACGGCTGTGGCCTTTTGCACATGCACGTAGCTGCCCTAAAAACTGTACGTAGATCTCGCAATGGCCAGCTGGCAGCCCGGCATTGTCCGGACTTTCTTTTGCACTTGCGCAGATGTGTCAGGGCGCACGAATGTCTACTGTCAGAGAAGTTGCATGCCGCGCTAGCCTCACAACTTCGCACTACGGATTTGCCTAGTGGCGAATAGTGACTAGTGCAGGATTGAGCCAACGTGCTGCTGGCTCTTGGCAGGTATTGTTGGACGCTCTCGTCACGTCACCACTTCAGGAAGAGCTGGACGCATAGATCAGGGTAAGGGCATCGCTGCCTTCTAGCAGGGTATCCTGTTTCCTGCAACAAAGGGTGCATGTACACACCTGGTCTATGCTTTCATCCAGCTCTCCTCAACCATGAGTTCCCCGCATTCATGGCGAGCACCCGCAAACTTGGGTGACCATGACTTCGTATCGTCGAAGCATGCTTCGGTCAAGGCCTAACATGAGCTTGTGCAGGAGCTAGCAGACTCCCATACTAACACCTATCATAAGACCTTTCGCTGGTCTCTGCGACTGCAAACACACACAACTCATGTTGTCTACCCAGCGCACTGCCGTCCACACCAGTTCATGCTCGGGCGTACTATGTACCAACCTACACGTAAGACTACGTAAGAAGTGATCCTTCCGGTTGCCAAACCAAGGGGCAAATCCATTGGATCACGTGCCACTCTAAAATCTCTTACAAGATTCAGCCTTCATGCACTTCTTAAGAGTAACACGACTGGCTATAAGTGAAACGCTTCACATTTCAGTTGCTTTGCTGGTTGATTGCAACTGCCCTCTGCCGGGCAAGGCGGACTGCATTCTCAGCACCTTGATTGGCAGCCAATACCGCTGCTGCGACGGCGCGCCTTTTGCACCTGTAGCCAATGGACCGTGCTCGAAAAGGGCTTGGACTCGCACTGCGCGCCAGGTGGGGTACTTCTCCCTGCGCAAGATCAGCTTCTGGAATTCCACGCTTCTTCCCACAGCCTTTGGCTGCACGAGTAGCGCAGTTGAAGTTGTCAGCTATGAGTAGCGAGCTGATTGCTGGCAAAGCCGAACGTCCAGGCTCTCCAGGTGGTCTTCGCATGAGGCTGCTGTTGTAGGTGAAGGATTTCTGCACGTTGTCGCATGTTGATGTCCTCGATCACAGCGAGAAAAGCCTAACTACTGCAGAAGAGGTAAGGGAAGACAGTCACCCTTGCAGCACAATCATTCCTTAACAGGCTTGATGGTCTTGGAGCAGATGCTATTGGCCCCATCGCTTTGCTTTGAAGCTGCCTCCAGGGGTGCCCAGGGGTGCACTAAAACACTACTAAAACCAATCTGTTCCAATCTGAGCGAAGTGGGGCTCGGGCCCTTTCTGATTTGCCGCAGCATTGGCAAGAGCGACTCCAACCACCTGCAGCGATCGGTCTCACAAACTTTTACAAGGATGAATTAGGGCACAAAACTGGCACCTTCTCGACGGACATCGAGGGTGCGATGTTCTGCTCCTGCGTTGCGTTGCGTTGCATACCTTCCATCAGGCTTCAGCAAACTGTCCACATGCTAGCCGGACACCGTTGCTGCAAAAGCCTACAGATCGTAGCAGACACTTTGTGCAAGCGACGCATATTCTCAGAAGCCATGCTTTCCTGCATCTCATGCAACTGTACAGACATGCTGAAGGCTTTGAGCTCTGGAGCACGACCCTCCTCTCGGCAGCGAGGCTGCAGCGAGGCTGCACTGGTCACAAAACCTAGGGCATCAGATTTGAAGCAATGAAGCAAATGCGTTTAAGGGGCTTTTGGAAAGAGTCCTCTGGTAGGCCCTCCTCGCTCAGAGCGAGGCTGCAAGGCCAACGTTTGTGACTAAAAATGGGCGCGCTTGTGCGCTTGTGAGAAGAACACTCACTTCGAGCAGAGGGCGCGGGAAAGCCAGTCCAAGCCCTCGTACAGGCCGTCCCCAGTAGGGGCTACTGTGGATTGAATGAACCACTTGCGATGCTGCATCTTCTGCAGCTCCAGCGCATGAATGACGTCACTCGCAGACATCGCATTCGGGAGGTCCTGCTTATTCGCCAGCACCAGCAGAACCGCATTCTCCATCTCTGGCTCGCTGAGCAAGTGATGCAGCTCTTCCTTCGCGTCGTTGATTCGGTCACGGTCAGAGCTGTCCACCACAAAGATCAACCCATCTGTGCCACCATAGTAGAAGCGCCACAGCTTGCGGATTTTATCCTGCCCGTCTACCTAAGAACAGAATAGTTTGGGAAAAAAACGCACAATGCTTAGTCCTCGCAGGGGTCTATGTCATTGAAAACCACACAAGTGTCCAAACACGATCCAGCTACATCCCAAACGGTGAAGTTGATGTTCCTGTACTCCACCTGTGCGCTCAATCAAGGTTGCATTACGGGGATGGCTCAGGATAAGGGCCTAGTCCAAACCAACAAACAGAGATTCTAAAACTTGCTAAACCTCACTTCAGCGCCGTCTCCACATTGAAGCCGATTGTCGGGACCTGACTCGACCCCATGCCGGCTTCAGGATGGTAACTTATTATCATCATTGGTTGGTTACTGTGTTGACTCTTTAAATGATGCTGTGCAAGCCCGGTCCTATCCTGTGCTTGTACTTCTTTTTGGTAGGTTTGCTGTGGGAGAGGGCTTTGAGAGGGCCAGGGGAAGCTTGGGAATGCCTCGGCCACATAGATCTTACATATCTGGCCAGCAGTTCCGTGCAACTGAGGAGGGGACCGTCGACACAACATCAGAAAGCTTCAGCTTGTAAAGGATTGTGGTCTTGCCCGCTGCGTCCAAGCCCAGCATGAGGATCCGCATTTCTTTGTTGCAAATCATTCGCTGCCACACCTTGCTGAAGAGAAGACCCATGTTGGCACAATTCCCGAGCTGGCACTTCCTACAGTTCCTACTGGAGGCCCTACTCGAACCGAAAACAGAGTGGTGGAGTACATCACTGGAATGAGAGCCAGGGGCTGCATCCAAAGGCCTCAAAAATCTGAGCAGGAGAGTTCTGATTCGCTATGGCGCATATGGTCTCCGTACACGCAGATGCACTGTACAGCAGGAGACCCGAGACTCTCAAATTCATTGCGAAACTACCACCGAGGCAAGTTCTGCAGAACCGGTAACGAGGACATTGCGCATTGTGCCTTGGAGCTGTAATTCTTGACTCGGTGGTACGAATTAATGGAATTAAAGGAATTAACGAAAGCGCCATAAACTACCCTTCTACAAGTAACCGCACTGCAGGCGGAGTTGCATCTTCAACTCATGCACGTCTGCCTGTCAGACAGCTTGACCTGTTGCACCCGACCTGCGCGACTTTGCACTGCTGTGGAAAGTCCCCAGAAACACTCCTCTCTCAAACTCTCTGACACAAATCAAAGAGCCTTGTTGTGAGGAGAGATGCTGGCTTGGCCATGCGGAGATGACGCCAAGGTGTCGCCAAGCTGCATTGGGCCTTGGCAGCTTCATTTCTTGTCAGCTCCCGCTCTTCCCAGCCTTCCTCTAAAGGTCTAATCCGGTCGCCAATTCCGGGAGACTCCAAAACCCTCAAGGTTTAACTGGCCGGCCATGTCTGCAACGGCAGACCATGCATGCAAATCCCCAAGTTCGATGAGCCTTCCTCCCCCTTGCCCACTCCCTCAAAACCCGCCCACTGCACCGCCGACCGGGGCGAGAGGTAGCATAGAAAATTGAAAAGAACTGAACTGCCTCCATCCGCTTGCAGAAGAAGTACTTAAGTAACAGGTATTTGCTGCATGCGTTGTGACGCAGCTCTTTTTGGAACAGTGGCCGTGGCATTAGCAACGAGGCTTGGGCCCGACGCAAGGCACTCACACAGAATGCGAGCGCCGTGGCCTGTCGCCTTCGGTTTGGGAGCTCCCGCGTTCTCCGCGTTCTCCGCGTTCTCCGGGCACTAAGGGCTGACTGGAGGAGAGCTCCGTATGGTCCATCCCCTCTCTGTATTCTCTGTCCACTTGCAACTCTGCTAAGGCATTGAGGCTAGTGTCCGAGCTCACAAGATCCAAAGCAAATCGCATCATCTGATCCATCGGTACGTCAGCATGCCGCCCTTCCGAAATCACGTTGCGGAGGACTTGCATCTTGGCATGCCTTTGCAAGTCAGATGGATCCTGTGGTCCAGCGCTCGACTCAGCCGGATGCTCACCAGGGATCTCGGAATCCGTGGACTCCGTGTAAGAATATGTACCGGGAGGCACTGGGGGACCAAAGCCACACGCCAGACCCATATCTGGAATGGCCACAGCTATGCTTTCCTCACTGCTCAAGCTCACAACGTTTTCAGCCAGCGCCTGCCGTATTGGCCCGAAACCTCTGGACTGGGTCTGGGGAGCTCTGGTTGCAACCGGCTCACTCATGCTCTGCCGCTCATGCCGCTCGTACGGCCCAGTGCGTGTCTGGCTCGGCCCTCTCGGATTGGCTCCGGAACCTCGAACTCCCCGAGCTTCCAATATGACAGACAGAATCTTGAGCTCCTCCCGGAATTGGTGCACAGTTTCACTGCGTGACCGCAGATTTAAGCTATCGATCTCGTCATTGTCCTCGATGTCACCCTCACTCAAGGCATCTCGCTCCGGCATCTCAGCGCTGCCCGTACTTGCCAAGTCTGGAAGCGACTCCGACTTTCGAATTATTCGAAGTACTCGTGGAGGCTGTGGGGGAATGTCGGGCAATGTTTCTGGTGGCTCGTACCCTTGTCCTGGGTATGGCCAGCGCATGCCCACCGGAGGAGACAGCTCTCTCAGCGCGTTAGAGATAGCAGCTGGGAACTGTTCGTCGAGCTCGTTCCCTTCTAAACTCAGCTCGGCTAGAGGGAACCGGCGGTTGTAGCCGTCATACTCGTGTGCCAGCTCTCTACGCAGCAACTGCAGCAGGGGCCACAGGTCATCTCGCCGCAGGCCCATTGACCTGACAGTGTCATTGAAAGCATCTGCACACACAAGAACCCTCTTCTCCTCTCTAACCTTGAATAGGGTCCGTGATCAATGGTATGTGTTGCCACGAGCCAATATACTACACTAATTACTCCATACTACATCTCCTCTCTGCGCAGTGCTCATGCAGCAACAAAGCTGGCCTCAGGCGGATAGTTTTGATGAGGAGGCCCGATCTCAAAGCTTGACATAGGACACGAAGCAAATTTTCCCTTGTTAAGGGTGCATGCTGATCCCGTCGATGCCAGAATCCTGATAAGGTGCGAGGGCGGTGACATACAAGAAAACCAGGCATTTCATACTAACTGCTACGTTGGTACGCCGTGCATCTTCTGCAGGATGAGTTTCTCATTGAATCTTGCGAACTGCGAGTGGCGCCCAGAAGTGGGTTGCCTGAGAGGTCCAGTACGCTGAGCGGAACAACCTGGCGGAGGCGCACTTCTTCATCATTCCCCCTGACAAACCTCCGTCAGCTTGATACATTTATGCGGTACTAGATTATTCCAACATGCCCTCTCACCTACCGCTCACAGCTAGCTCATGGAGCATCATCGGCACAGAAATCTCGGTGCAAAGAACTTCAACTGATTTGCTCGAAGGCGAGTCTCCTTTTTGCATGCACGAAAGTAACAAGGAGGCAATGGATAGTCCATGATAGCCCTGACGAAGTGTAGTTGATTGAATATGTTTCTGCTAATTGCCCGCAAGTGCTGCAATCAGCGTGTCGAGAGGCAGAGTACCGGAGCCCCGTCTATAAAGAAAAGACCCAGCCTGCTGCTTCTGCTGCGACTGCGCTCGTACATGCAGAAGGCGGGCAAGCAGTTGAAGGTCCTGGGGTTAGCGTTTCTGTTTGTTACGAGTTTGCCCGCTGCGCGTTCTCAACTCTCACCCTGTGCTGAGCAGTCGCTTGACGAGCAACGTTGATGCATATCTCATCCGTAAGAATACCGAAGAGCAAATTTGTGCCAGAGCGTCCCGTAAACGATTCTGCGCCAAAGAGAGGTGCGACAGCTTAGGAAGGCGGGTGCCTTTGATTGCGGCAGGCACTCGATCCGTCAACTGCTAAGAACCGTGAGTCTCACTGTTTCAGGAAGGCACACGGATGAACTGATGAACTACTCCTCCGGCTATGTGGTCCCAGGTGCCGAAGTATGGCAGAATCTGAGCTAACCCACCTCAGAAGGTCCGGCAGCACACATGCCAAGTCTTTGCATCAAGTAGGTCAGTGTATAAAGCTGCCAAAAGCCAAAGCCCAGCGACGATCTTGCAAAGAGCAGCCCGCCAAGTGCCTCGCAGCAACAGCATGTGGCCAGTTCTCTAATTAGCGTCTGGGGGCATTACGTATCGGGGCCATAACTTTTCGGTGACCCCTGCCCCCCCAAAATTGGAGAACGGAGTTCTGTTAGCACGGGGCGCTCCCAAGAGCACCTGGTCAACCCCACAAGACAGAGAGGCAGAGAGGCAGATATGTATATATTATCCCGGTTCTCGGTTCCCCTCCCCCCCCCCCCCAACCCCCTAAACCCTAAACCCAGACCCTAAACCCAAAACCAAAACCCTAAACCCTAATAAATAAACCCCAAACCCTAAACCCTAAACCCTAAACCCGAAACCCTGAACCCTAAACCCTAAACCCAAAACCCTAAACCCCAATAAATAAACCCTAAACCCTAAACCCTAAACCCTAAACCCTAAACCCTAAACCCTAAACCCTAAACCCTAAACCCTAGACCCTAGACCCTAAACCCTAAACCCTAAACCCTAAACCCTAAACCCTAAACCCTAACCCTCAACTCTAAACCCTACCCCTAAACCCTAAACTCGAAACCCTAAACCCTAAAAGTCTAAACCCTAAAACCAACCCACAACCACACCACAGCGGGGGGAGGAGGAAACCCTAAACCCTAAACCCTGAACCCTAAACCTCTCTGCCATATAACCCTAAATGTTAAACACGAATCGGAGAATTTGATCAAATTCTTTTTTCGCCCCCCCCCCCCATTATTCAGCACGAATTTGAGAATTTCGACTCCTCTTACCACGCAAACCCCCCCGCTTGTTCAGCACGAAATGGAGAATTTGATCCATTTCGACCCCTCCGACCCCTTTGGCCCCCCGTTGTTTGATCCATTTCGATCCCTCTTGCCCCTCTAACCCCCCCCCATTTGTTCAGCACGAATTGGAGAAATTGATCCTTTTCGACCCCTCCGGCACGAATTGGAGAATTTGATCCATTCCGACTGCTCTCGGCCCCCCTGAAATTTTGACCTCTCTAACCCTCCATGGTTCAGCACGAATAAGAAATTAATAAACTTTCTATTTTCGTAATGTTATCTGAGTCTTTGGGCGGGTGGGCTTGGTTCCGTTGCCTACACACATTGCTGGCCTAGTAAATGCTCGAACTTGAGATGCTGAACCCTAAACCCTAAACCCTAAAACCCTAAAACCCTAAAACCCTAAAACCCTAAAACCCTAAAACCCTAAAACCCTAAAACCCTAAAACCCTAAAACCCTAAAACCCTAAAACCCTTAAACCCTAAACCCTAAACCCTAAACCCTAAACCCTAACCCTAAACCCTAAACCCTAAACCCTAAACCCTAAACCCTAAACCCTAAACCCTAAACCCTAAACCCTCAACCCTAAACCCTAAACCCTTACCCTGAACTCTAAGCCCTAAACCCTAAACCCTAAAACCAACCCACAACCACACCACCCGCGGGGGTGGGGGGGGGTTGTACCATTGGGGGGGGGGGGGGGGGGGGGGGCAGCCCGCACCGGCATAATATACATTTATATATTTATATATATATATATATATATATCTATGTATATACACATAACATATGTATACATATGTCTTTGTTAATCTATATCTTGATATCGGCCGAGCGGCAGCCGCTGGAGGGCCGGTGCCGCTGCCAAGCAGCGGCAGAGCGGCACCGTGACGTTGTGGTGGGCAGAGCGGCCCAGCGGGAGGCCTGTGAGCTCCAGCACCTGCCAACAAAGCGGGGCGTAGTGGGGCCAATATGGGCCAATAGGGTTCAGGGCTTGGAGAGATCTGATTCTGGACTCTACGTCTTCGCAGGAAAGCGGCTGCCAGTCCGCGGCCACGCAAGGAGCAGAAGGCGGCCAGTGCCCGCATGAGGCGCCACAACTGCACCTGACAGCTTCGCCAGGACCCTAAACCCGAAACCAAACTGCACCGTAAACCCTGAACTCTACATCTTGCAGGCCCTATGGAACCTGTCGTGCCGACCTTGCGGCCTCACCGGCCTCACCGCTCCAGTGGCGGCGGGTCGCGTGGCGGTTAAAGTTCAACTAGGCAAAGGCCAGATTTTTACGTGCTCCTCTGCATCAGCTCCATCAAGTGTGCGTTTAAGTATTCTGGTGTTCTGCTTCGCGTGATGTTCTTGCATGTTATGTTGCCCTGTATGGCTGTTTTCGGCCTGGTCCTTCAAGATGCCCTCCGGCATTCGCTGCGCAGCTGCCTGGAGTTTGACCTCAGCCAAAGATCTCTCCATACATGCGCTTGGGTACGACGGTGTCTCTCAGCAACTTGGCAAGTGCGCAACTGGGACTCTGAGATCTTTGAGTGCCCCAGATGAGCCCGGCGGCTCGATAGTGGTCATCCTGTCCGAAGAACCAGAAGCCATCGTAGAGAACTACCTTCAACGTCCACAGGGCAAGCTATGACCGAGACAATCTCCGGCCCCAAACAAAGGCCCCTGCCTGGTAGATCCCCAGAGGAGCCTCGCGGAGGAAGATGAGAAAGGGCTCTAGGTCTCGGCAAAGCTGCACGTCCAACACCAAGGCCTGGATTTACCCGTGGACTACTTCCAAGGTAATTAAAGCGAGCCCAAACATGGCAACAAAGTCGGGGAGAGCGGCGCTAGACCTACAGAGTGCCAGCCTTAAAGCCATCCTTGATTCAGTGGAGACATACTCACAAGACATGCACAATAGTGCCAGCCGAAGCACACCATTGTCACGTAAATCTGCGAGCACGTCCTCAGTGACGCAAGCACTTTGCTTTGCAGCGGCCCGTTGCTATCTGTTTCTCTAGAACCAGAAGAAGCTGCTGTTTGGCACCTTGAAAAGGGATGACCCTATGCCCCCACATCGCCGCCGTCCCTTCGGAAGCTGACAGGTTTAACAGGAAGACCAACCCAAGAGCCTCCGTTTGCTCTTGGCTGTGTTCGCTCTGGTCGCCAAGACTCGCAGGTGGGCTGCCTCCCCAACCGAAAACACGCATGCTTGAAGGCATCAGCTCCCTTCTGGGACGCTATGGACCTGCGAAAAGAAGGTGGTGCAACAAAGCATAGGCAGTGCGAACAAGCATTCTCTCTGTCCTCTTGACTTTCATCTTGCCGACTAGCGGCACGCGAGGTGAGGCACACTTTCTGCCTGACGTGCAAATCGATCAGTCTTTACCGGTTTGTCTCGAAAGGTACTCAAAAAAACAATTGCTGCCTCTTCGGCTCCTGGGCATATCGTTTACGCACGCCGCGGAGCCTGCATCGCCTTGGCTGCTTTATCAAACAGTGAGTTCGATGAGGGTTTTGGATCTGACCTGCCAGTAGATGGCCCTCGCAACCCTGCAGCAGCAACGTCATTGAGTTCCACTTGCAGCTAGCATGTTTCTGCACAGCAACGAAGGAAAGGCTTCCATTCCGGTTGTACTGTTCACACGTGCGGTGAGCGCCCAAGCAATAAACAATCTGCAAGCCTAGAGCTAGGTTTGCTTGCCTTTTGTTGGGCGTGACTGTCCCCAAATGCCTGCGCAGCATCATTGGGACTTGGTGAGTCACTCAAGACGGCCGAGTGGCTCGACTCCAGTATAAGGTCTCGCTTCACCCCTGCATACGCCAAAAAGTCTTGAGCCGAGTAGACACGCACGCATTAAAGCCAAATTCAGTCTGAGTAGAGCTGGCCACACTAGGCCCAGCCTGAAGCCATGTTGGATCTACTCTTGCAATCTCTCATCTCACCCAAGATCGGCGAACTTTGGCCCTGCTAGCAGTGCGATTAAGCCTCCGGCTCTTCTTTGGCAAGCCGCTGCGACCGCATGCCTAATGACATCTGACGATGAATGTTGCGATGTGTGGTGCAGAAAGACGAGACGTACCTACCTCCACAATCACCCACGCATAGCTATCACCGTTCTTGTTGGCTGACGAATGTCTAAGTCTAGGGTGATTGGCAACCACGGCGGAATGCGACGTACTGCAAGCAACATGGGATAGCCATGGTTTCGTAAACAAAAAGCGGGCTGACAGAAATTTCTGGATAAACCGGAAAGTTTCCTGAGTTTCTTGAATCGGGAAGCCAATTTCCTGCATGGCATAGAACCGTAGCGTCTTGAATCGGGTTAGTTTCCAGAATCCTGCTTTCGCGAAACGCGGCTAACTTCGGCAATATGCATAATGCCGACAAAGTGAATCAGATGTGCCGTGCGACCTCTGCGTTCCCTGGCCGGATGGTGCCAGTTCGATTGGCGACCTGCCAACAATCAAGTTGAAACCGCTTGTACCTCGAACACTCATGTAAATCCGCAGTTTGGCACGATTGCCCTGAATGTCAGAACATGTCAGAACCATGTAGATCAACATGGGACACAGAAGGAGGAGCACCGGTGTAGGTGCACGTATCGCTGACGACGGCAAACACATTTTGAAGATGCGTGCCGGGAGGCCCCGCCCATGTGCTGACGCCATGTATTAGCGCCAGGTCCGGCGACGCCGCGTCGGTCCACGGCATTTGAAACATGTGGTGACGCCACGTCGGTGACGACACGTGGGGTCCTGAGGCCACGTTATTAGCAAGTGGGGCACCACGTGCAGTGACACTGGCGTGCCTCCATGTGAGCTTCTGTCGCCACGTTCTGACACGACCGGCGACGGCAAAAGTCATTTTGTTGCGGGTGTGTTGTTGAAACCTTTCCGCCCATCGACGGGAAGTGGAAACCACGTGAGCTAGTGACGCCACGTACGTTCTGCTGCCGGCATTGAGCGCCAGCGCGCACGCGCGCACACACGCGCGCGCGCGCGCGCCCACACACACACACCTACACCTGCACAAGCGCGTGCAATACCAAGGCCTTCAGGGGCGTTGATGGTACTGCCAAGCTTCGCTGCCGCGCGTGGCCTCCAGGCCATCACCTCGGTTGATGGCGGGCCAAGTCTCGTTCAAACGTTGACCATCGTGATACTCCGGACTCCATGAATTGCATCAGGAACTGTCCCGGTGGACAAGCGACCTTCAACTCGTCCACCGGTGAAAGGTCACGTGACCTTGACCTGTTCAATGTGTCGAGCGAGCAAAGCGTGCTGAATGCACCGGTAGGGAGCACTCAGAGGTCAAGATAAGGATGCTAGTTAAGGTGGTCAAAAAAGGACTGTCCCGTAAACTTGGCAGACCTTGGCATGAAGGCATATGAAGGCTAACATTTCTGGGGCCACGCTTCCTAGCCCACTGCGGCTTTGTAAGATTATCAGGAAATGTCACATGACACTTGCGGCCGAGCCTGCAGCTGCATCCTGCGAAGTCATGAAACAATCATCTTGGGTGCTTCCATCACTAGCCACAGAGGTCAAGCTACAACGTTCCTTAGCCATGCCGCGTGCAGCAACTCCTGTGACCAGCCAAGTGCCTCAAACATAATCATTGCATATGATGGCCATGACGCTATTAACAACACAGGGTAGATCTGAAGTCACTGTTCCTGGAAGCCTCCCTGTGTACCCCCAAACATCCAAAAAGGAAAGGGGTGGTGTCTAAGCAGCTCCGCAAGATGCTCCTTCATGGAATCGCTGGCGGGCGGCTTCTGCGAGGCTGGGCACCTGCAACTTTTCGGGGTTTCAATTTTGGGAGGGGGCCTGAGATGTCTAAGTGTTCGCTAGCTTTCGCTTTGGTGGGTTAAGGCTTTCGGCTAAAGACTTTTACAAGGAGGTCTGGGATGGTCTCAAGGGCACACAACATGTCAGCCTACTGGAGGACAGGTGCATGGCAGAGCGTTGCATCGTCGGACTCTTTCTCGGGCGGCGACAAGAGTCCAGCCTAGAGACAGGTCCTCCACAGACCCGCCGCCACGCGAGCTTCAGAGCTGCGATGGGACTGCTCTTGACAGGTGGCACAGTGTCACCGAAATGAACCGAAGCTTCAAGTCAGGGAGTGGGTTCATTTGATTTGGGTCATTACGTGTCTAGGGCTTTCAGATCGGCGCGATGACGCACAGCTGGCGAGGAGTGGGCCGATGGAAAACTGGATGCAGGTGTGCCATGACGTGCCTGCAACCCCCACATAGAAAATCTGGAGAAGGCCTTCGCACGAGCACTGCATGATGCTAGTGACACGCTATATTCACTGCTTGGTCGTTGAAGCACCTATACTATACAAGGACAAAAGTCGTCTCAACTCGTTGTTCGGTCTGGGTGCACCTTGTATGCCACGCACCCCCAAAGCCCGTCTTGACAAGTTTAGCAAGCCCACATCGCAGCTGAGTGCTGTTTTTGAATAAAAGGACGACAAAAGATGTCACTGAGCCCGTTGAGATTCTGGGGCATTATCACAAAGGTTGTTTCCACTGCTGCGAGCTTGTTCCTGCGTAGCTATGCGTTGAGCCGATGCTTTCGATCACCCTTATTTCTTGCGGGATTCGACAGGAATCCTCGGTTCCCGCTTTGGCTTGCCAGCTTCTAGGTATGATTTCTACTGGGCACCAGTTCTCTTGAAACTTTCATCCGCATTCCTTTTGCCAATGCTGCGAAGAAGATTGCCTGACACTCCCTGCGATGTTGGAGAGCTGTCCATGGTGCTGCGTTGCTGAGTTGCTTCGTTGCTGCGTTGTTGTCTTTCAATGCGTGCCTGGGCCGAGAAGTGGCCAATAAGCCACAGGCCAGCAACCAGGCCCAAAAGCAAGTCGAAATTCAATGAGACTACTGAAACGATTGCTCGAATTCATGAGCTGAATGGAACGAAACATCGAACATAAAGCATGGGAACGATGCACAAAAACTTGCATCCCCCACCGGAGTGCGGGAAGGATGTGGGTACTGCATGTTGACTTTGACTTACTTGCTTGATGTCAGTTCGCTGCTTAGTTTAAGCTCCTGGCGAAAGCCTTTCCAGAGCCATCCAGATGCGGCCCCTGTATCCAGCGGCTGAGAAAACACCTGGGCCTGCCTTGCAAGCCCTCGACTTCTGTACAAGCAGTCGTGTCTGGCTGCAGTTGTGGCTAGAATCGGCTAGAAGCCTGCACCTTGCAGCTCAAAGCGGGCCACCAGCATGCAACCTCGCACCTTGTGCCAGATTCAGTTCACAATCTCAAGCAGTTCGCGCAAGCGAGAAGCATAAAGCTTCAGATTCTTCAGATTCTTCGTTTCCTTTGCCCATTTTGTCCGCTTGGCATAGCAGGTGTGGAGGATGCCCAGGCGGTCGTCCCTCTCCAAGCAAAGCATGCGGAGCTGCCTCATCTCCTCGTTTTGGAGGAAGCCCTGCTGCTCGACGACATCCAAGCACTCCAAGACCTCTGCCCAGCTGCCGACATCGCTACCTTGACGCAGCAAAGCGGGAGAAAGCACGCCAGCGGAAAGCATGACAAACATAACAGGAAGAGCACAGAACCGACATAACCAACCCAATTTGAACTTGTCGTGAAATCATCGAATGACGCATATTCTCCCAGGAACCTCCAGGAGCCGCCGATACCTGTACTGGATTGATAACATTTGCATTCGCACCATCCTCGCTCTTCATGAAAAGCTCCACAGATCGTGCCACAAGGAAGGGAATGAAAATGATCCCTGATGTCGTGGCCAAGACGGAGGCAATCTTTGCTTGTGGATTCAAGGGATACCAAGGTGGATCGCGACCTGCAAAGATGTTCACCATGTAGATGAGAGCATCTTCGAACGTGCGCTCCTCGGAAACCGAGGAACTCTCACTTTCTCTGCACATCCGAGCAGCCATCCTAGCAGTAGCAGTTGACTTTCGTGAGGAGAAAAGCCAAGCATCGGCCACTTCCATGCTTGTGTCTGGGTTCTCGAAAGCATAAAGAACAGTGGCTGAAACAACCACCGTGCCAATCAGGGAGAGCAAGACCGCTATGATCTGCTGGCTGACTGGAACAGTCCTCCCCAATTGCAAGCTGCAAGTATCAAGATAAGACATATTAAGTGTAATTATGAGCTTTGAGAACTTGGCGCGTGTATACGCACACACACCTCTGCATGAAACGATGTCCTGAAAACCATACCGCCGGGGCCTGCTTCCCTGTCTGAAGGCAGCGCCACGCGGAGCAAACCTTGCGGCTTACTGCGGAGGGCAGATGTCCCAGGCAACCGGCAGAACCAAAACTACCAGAGCTTCAGGTAAGCCGGGATGCGGAGGAATCTACCGATTTGGAGCAAATCCGTTGTCCTCTCAAGTGCTGGACCGCCTCGTGGGTGAAAACGCATGCAAAAGATGCGATTTCCATTGAGAGCAAACGTGTTTGCTAGCGCAGAACATTAAACCTGCTCAAGCTGGGTCGAAGAGTCGAAGACACTTCATTTATTTGCCTGTTTTTCATTCACGCGAGGCGCCTATGAGCCTCGCCGGAATGCAAAGCACCGGCAAGCTGCTTGCCATATCCAGGACCCCCTTCCCTGTGAACAGCCAAGATAATTTGAACTCGTTCGTCCTTAGCTTGCTCACAGTGCAATTTGGGGACCTCTGATCTGGGAGGGTCCGTAAAGGCGGTACAGTAGACCTTCTAACTTCAGCAAGGCCGCCAAAAAAGAAGCATAAACTTGACAAAGAATGATACATTCACAAAGTCCTCGACTTCCTGCAGAAAGAAATCGCCTGCCCGGGTAATTGCGTGAATTGACACGTGGCTCGTTTCGTGCCATGCTCTTCCAGGCCTGCGATGTTCGGAGAGACCACGCGCGTCACAAAGCACAATGTGCCCAGAGCGACGAAAAAACTTTCCTTGACTGCATTCGCCCGGTTTGCAAAACATTCCACACCATCAAAAGACAACAGAAACAATATCCGGAACCGGAGCCAACAACCAGGACGCAACGACCACACCAAAGACAACGGGCCGTAGCTAGCGCCGTCCTAACTAGCCAAACCTGCAAACAAACTCAAGATTCCGATCTCGAAAGCGTTTTATGTCCTCGATTGCTGTCAGCCGTGGCAGCTCCAACGACCATAACCACAACCCCGACAACAATGACAACGCTTATGCTTACAATCTGCCCTGGTGCTGTCACTCGGTACGGCAAGGGCCCAGTTTCTTCTGAGAGCATCAGGTAGCCTTTGAATTCTTCCAGCTTGTTTTCCAGAACCAGGCCCATGGATGAAACTGTTCGATCCGTTTGAGACTTCATCGCCTGAAAAGAACATGCAAAAGTGCTGTCCGCCCCGTAACAACGGCCCGAGATCTTACTTAGAGCCAAGCACTGACCTCGCATAACATTCTGCAGCCAATGCCTCTCGGTTCTTTTGCTGGCTTCTCTGTCCCACCAAATATTCCTCCCGTGAGAAGAACCCATCGCCCTTCCTTGCAGGATAGAGCATCTCAGCATACGTCAGCTGCACGTTGATCTAGTTTGCTCTCATAATGAACTCTGGGGCTCGCATCCAGCTCCTCGAGCCTGAGCGACTGCCAAGCTCATTGACACGGCAGCAGAATCTTCAAACCGGGCAAGGCAAGACACCTGTCAATCGGAGAGCTGGCGCAGCAGGCACGAACCCAACGGCGTGGGTACGACTGCTGGCTTCGCCAGCGTCGACGATGCCGTGCCTAGGTGAGCTGGTTCTCGAACGCAGAATGAATGCATAATGAATGGAAAATGAATGCAGAATGAATGCCATCGCAAGCGTCACAAGGTTTGAGCACCCGGTGCTACTGTAGCAGTCTCAAGTGTTAGGCAAGTCGTGAGATCAGTGGCTTAATCTCGAACTGGTTTGTCAGCTCTGTCTGCTCTGCTTTGTCTGGAAACTCGAGTAACTTGCGGATGTCTGGCGGACGTCTGGCGGGTGTCTGGTGGGCGGTCTCTTGTTCTGGTCTGAATGGCAGCTTCTAACAGGATGCAAGAGACTGGGAGACTAGGAGCCACACAGAGGCGTGCTTCGCTCTCCTTTGCAGCACCTCACACAGGCAGGTTCTTCGGGAATCCGCGGGATGCATCCGTGAGCCTGAAACCAAACAAGCGGTTTCTACTAGTAATCCTGTACTTGGTGATGGCATGTTGTAGGTGTGAAGCGCACATCAGGTGGCAGCATCGCTACTTGCATGTGGCAGCATGCAGGCGCGAAGAAGCAACCTTTCCGTGACACTCCCCTGAAGCTTACCCAGTTCAACGTATCTTTAGCTCACCCTTTTGGTCTTTCTTACTTTGCTTATCATGTGATTGGGTCTTTGCGATATCGCCTCCACAGGAGCCAGGGCCACGGCGCCCAAGATCAGCAAAGAGGAAGGGGAAGAAGGGAAAGGGCGTGGCGACGGTACCGGCAGTGACGGAGAGCTCCGAGAGCTGAAGCCAGACGCCGACCGGCTTCCACACGCTCCGTTGGATCCGTCACAAGGCCGAGTAGGTGCCACCAGAGCCATGGCAAACCAGGCCGGAGCTTCCAGCTTAAAGTTAAGCGATTGGTTTAATAACAAGTTCGTTTACATGAAGGATGCGGCACTGCGGGGAGGTCGTCTGCACCTCTAGGGACTGGCACCTTGCCTGGATTCCATCAGAGTCCACATGTCAACTGTTCAGTCGTTGTGCGCGATGCTCGCTCTGTGTAGTGTAGGATCCTTGCTGGTTTTGCACTCACATCGCCAGCAGAGCGCTTTCGCGGCACTGCGTCACTGAGTAGTTATGTCTTGTAGGATTGAGCTGGAGCACGTCACAGACAATGCGACAACTGACGGCGCATTCCGCATGACGCCATGGATCTCTAGCCACTAGAGTCCTTGCCATGATTGCCAGATCCGGCCTCCGTCTCCGGCTTTGCTTGCCACAAGCTTTGCAGAACGGTGCGCTGCCATTCAACCTCCATGCTGGAAAGGGGCATAAAGGGACGGACGCAGCAACATGTACAAGTGGTGCGCGGGCTGCCTGTCAAAACACGCTGCAATAGGATGCAAACTTTGCTCAGTCAGTCTGCAAAATCCCCCTTCCTCTGCATACCCAAAGCGCTTGTGTCTGTACAGAGTGGCCGCTTTGGAGGACGGCGGGAGCAATTGAGACAGCGTGAGGGCCCCCCTCACTGCTCACAGCGAGGCTGCAAAGGCCCAAACTCGCCTGGAGATGAATGAACATCTGTTTATGCATTTTGCACAAAACCCGGCTTTCCAAGTCAGCTACCGCGGGCATCATCACAGAACACTCACTTCGAGCAGAGGGCGCGGGAAAGCCAGTCCAAGCCCTCGTACAAGCCATCCCCTGTTGGGGCTGAGGTTGCCTGAATGAACCACTTGCGATGCTGCATCTTCTGCAGCTCCAGCGCCTGCATGATGTCACTCGCAGACATCGCATTCGGAAGGTCCTGCTTATTTGCCAGCACTAGCAGCACCGCATTCTCCATCTCTGGCTCGCCCAGCATGTGCTGCAGCTCTTCCTTTGCATCGTTGATGCGGTCACGGTCAGAGCTGTCCACCACAAAGATTAGGCCGTCGGTGCCCTGGTAGTAGTGGCGCCACAGCTTGCGGATCTTGTCCTGGCCGCCTACCTGGGTCGCACGTGGGCTTCGACGATGAAGTATGCAAATCTGAACCCCTTGTAAGCACGCAGTACTCTGAACAATCAAAGATAATCACAGTCTTTTCAACAGCGATCGAATCCAGCTGCGTCCCAGACGGTGAAGTTGATGTTCCTGTACCTTCTTGCTACAGAGCCGCAAGCCATGCACCGACAGAGTGAGAGAGGGGCACCAAACGAACCCACAACACAAACAGCCCGAAGCCACGTGCTTACGCATGCTTGCCAATGCTTGCCAAGTGCTCTACGGTCTCGACGTTGAACCTTGGCTGCTCTCAAGATGGAACATGCCCTGAGCACGAACGCGCAACTTTCCAAATCAAATCGGCAACCGACATCAGCCACCAAGTGGACCAAGCCTAAACTGGGCCTAAACAGCAGAGGAGCCCGACTGTAGGGATGGTCGTCACAACTTCCGACAGCTTCAGTCTGTACAGGATAGTGGTCTTGCCGGCTGCGTCCAGGCCCAACATGAGGATCCGCATCTCTTTGGACCCAAGCATCCGCTGCCACACCTTGCTGAAGAGGAGGCCCATGTCGAGCACCGATGCGAGAGATCGCGAGAGAGGCTGGTGATGCCCTACCACAAGGCTGGAGCTTGACACAGAAACGCAACGGACAGAGCCTTGGCAGAGCAGGCAGAATCCAAGCATGCGTGAAGGAGCACCTGGTGCTCTGGTATGCTTTTTGTAACATGCTCAACTCACGGAGTCCCTCCCCCTTCCTCTGCATACCCAAAGCGCTTGTGTCTGTACAGAGTGGCCGCTTTGGAGGACGGCGGGAGCAATTGAGACAGCGTGAGGGCCCCCCTCACTGCTCACAGCGAGGCTGCAAAGGCCCAAACTCGCCTGGAGATGAATGAACATCTGTTTATGCATTTTGCACAAAACCCGGCTTTCCAAGTCAGCTACCGCGGGCATCATCACAGAACACTCACTTCGAGCAGAGGGCGCGGGAAAGCCAGTCCAAGCCCTCGTACAAGCCATCCCCTGTTGGGGCTGAGGTTGCCTGAATGAACCACTTGCGATGCTGCATCTTCTGCAGCTCCAGCGCCTGCATGATGTCACTCGCAGACATCGCATTCGGAAGGTCCTGCTTATTTGCCAGCACTAGCAGCACCGCATTCTCCATCTCTGGCTCGCCCAGCATGTGCTGCAGCTCTTCCTTTGCATCGTTGATGCGGTCACGGTCAGAGCTGTCCACCACAAAGATTAGGCCGTCGGTGCCCTGGTAGTAGTGGCGCCACAGCTTGCGGATCTTGTCCTGGCCGCCTACCTGGGTCGCACGCGGGCTTCGACGATGAAGTATGCAAATCTGAACCCCTTGTAAGCACGCAGTACTCTGAACAATCAAAGATAATCACAGTCTTTCCAACAGCGATCGAATCCAGCTGCGTCCCAGACGGTGAAGTTGATGTTCCTGTACCTTCTTGCTACAGAGCCGCAAGCCATGCACCGACAGAGTGCGAGAGGGGCACCAAACGAACCCACAACACAAACAGCCCGAAGCCACGTGCTTACGCATGCTTGCCAATGCTTGCCAAGTGCTCTACGGTCTCGACGTTGAACCTTGGCTGCTCTCAAGGTGGAACATGCCCTGAGCACGAACGCGCAACTTTCCAAATCAAATCGGCAACCGACATCAGCCACCAAGTGGACCAAGCCTAAACTGGGCCTAAACAGCAGAGGAGCCCGACTGTAGGGATGGTCGTCACAACTTCCGACAGCTTCAGTCTGTACAGGATAGTGGTCTTGCCGGCTGCGTCCAGGCCCAACATGAGGATCCGCATCTCTTTGGACCCAAGCATCCGCTGCCACACCTTGCTGAAGAGGAGGCCCATGTCGAGCACCGATGCGAGAGATCGCGAGAGAGGCTGGTGATGCCCTACCACAAGGCTGGAGCTTGACACAGAAACGCAACGGACAGAGCCTTGGCAGAGCAGGCAGAATCCAAGCATGCGTGAAGGAGCACCTGGTGCTCTGGTATGCTTTTTGTAACATGCTCAACTCACGGAGTCCCTCCCCCTTCCTCTGCATACCCAAAGCGCTTGTGTCTGTACAGAGTGGCCGCTTTGGAGGACGGCGGGAGCAATTGAGACAGCGTGAGGGCCCCCCTCACTGCTCACAGCGAGGCTGCAAAGGCCCAAACTCGCCTGGAGATGAATGAACATCTGTTTATGCATTTTGCACAAAACCCGGCTTTCCAAGTCAGCTACCGCGGGCATCATCACAGAACACTCACTTCGAGCAGAGGGCGCGGGAAAGCCAGTCCAAGCCCTCGTACAAGCCATCCCCTGTTGGGGCTGAGGTTGCCTGAATGAACCACTTGCGATGCTGCATCTTCTGCAGCTCCAGCGCCTGCATGATGTCACTCGCAGACATCGCATTCGGAAGGTCCTGCTTATTTGCCAGCACTAGCAGCACCGCATTCTCCATCTCTGGCTCGCCCAGCATGTGCTGCAGCTCTTCCTTTGCATCGTTGATGCGGTCACGGTCAGAGCTGTCCACCACAAAGATTAGGCCGTCGGTGCCCTGGTAGTAGTGGCGCCACAGCTTGCGGATCTTGTCCTGGCCGCCTACCTGGGTCGCACGTGGGCTTCGACGATGAAGTATGCAAATCTGAACCCCTTGTAAGCACGCAGTACTCTGAACAATCAAAGATAATCACAGTCTTTCCAACAGTGATCGAATCCAGCTGCGTCCCAGACGGTGAAGTTGATGTTCCTGTACCTTCTTGCTACAGAGCCGCAAGCCATGCACCGACAGAGTGCGAGAGGGGCACCAAACGAACCCACAACACAAACAGCCCGAAGCCACGTGCTTACGCATGCTTGCCAATGCTTGCCAAGTGCTCTACGGTCTCGACGTTGAACCTTGGCTGCTCTCAAGGTGGAACATGCCCTGAGCACGAACGCGCAACTTTCCAAATCAAATCGGCAACCGACATCAGCCACCAAGTGGACCAAGCCTAAACTGGGCCTAAACAGCAGAGGAGCCCGACTGTAGGGATGGTCGTCACAACTTCCGACAGCTTCAGTCTGTACAGGATAGTGGTCTTGCCGGCTGCGTCCAGGCCCAACATGAGGATCCGCATCTCTTTGGACCCAAGCATCCGCTGCCACACCTTGCTGAAGAGGAGGCCCATGTCGAGCACCGATGCGAGAGATCGCGAGAGAGGCTGGTGATGCCCTACCGCAAGGCTGGAGCTTGACACAGAAACGCAACGGACAGAGCCTTGGCAGAGCAGGCAGAATCCAAGCATGCGTGAAGGAGCACCTGGTGCTCTGGTATGCTTTTTGTAACATGCTCAACTCACGGAGTCCCTCCCCCTTCCTCTGCATACCCAAAGCGCTTGTGTCTGTACAGAGTGGCCGCTTTGGAGGACGGCGGGAGCAATTGAGACAGCGTGAGGGCCCCCCTCACTGCTCACAGCGAGGCTGCAAAGGCCCAAACTCGCCTGGAGATGAATGAACATCTGTTTATGCATTTTGCACAAAACCCGGCTTTCCAAGTCAGCTACCGCGGGCATCATCACAGAACACTCACTTCGAGCAGAGGGCGCGGGAAAGCCAGTCCAAGCCCTCGTACAAGCCATCCCCTGTTGGGGCTGAGGTTGCCTGAATGAACCACTTGCGATGCTGCATCTTCTGCAGCTCCAGCGCCTGCATGATGTCACTCGCAGACATCGCATTCGGAAGGTCCTGCTTATTTGCCAGCACTAGCAGCACCGCATTCTCCATCTCTGGCTCGCCCAGCATGTGCTGCAGCTCTTCCTTTGCATCGTTGATGCGGTCACGGTCAGAGCTGTCCACCACAAAGATTAGGCCGTCGGTGCCCTGGTAGTAGTGGCGCCACAGCTTGCGGATCTTGTCCTGGCCGCCTACCTGGGTCGCACGCGGGCTACGACGATGAAGTATGCAAATCTGAACCCCTTGTAAGCACGCAGTACTCTGAACAATCAAAGATAATCAAAGTCTTTCCAACAGCGATCGAATCCAGCTGCGTCCCAGACGGTGAAGTTGATGTTCCTGTACCTTCTTGCTACAGAGCCGCAAGCCATGCACCGACAGAGTGAGAGAGGGGCACCAAACGAACCCACAACACAAACAGCCCGAAGCCACGTGCTTACGCATGCTTGCCAATGCTTGCCAAGTGCTCTACGGTCTCGACGTTGAACCTTGGCTGCTCTCAAGGTGGAACATGCCCTGAGCACGAACGCGCAACTTTCCAAATCAAATCGGCAACCGACATCAGCCACCAAGTGGACCAAGCCTAAACTGGGCCTAAACAGCAGAGGAGCCCGACTGTAGGGATGGTCGTCACAACTTCCGACAGCTTCAGTCTGTACAGGATAGTGGTCTTGCCGGCTGCGTCCAGGCCCAACATGAGGATCCGCATCTCTTTGGACCCAAGCATCCGCTGCCACACCTTGCTGAAGAGGAGGCCCATGTCGAGCACCGATGCGAGAGATCGCGAGAGAGGCTGGTGATGCCCTACCGCAAGGCTGGAGCTTGACACAGAAACGCAACGGACAGAGCCTTGGCAGAGCAGGCAGAATCCAAGCATGCGTGAAGGAGCACCTGGTGCTCTGGTATGCTTTTTGTAACATGCTCAACTCACGGAGTCCCTCCCCCTTCCTCTGCATACCCAAAGCGCTTGTGTCTGTACAGAGTGGCCGCTTTGGAGGACGGCGGGAGCAATTGAGACAGCGTGAGGGCCCCCCTCACTGCTCACAGCGAGGCTGCAAAGGCCCAAACTCGCCTGGAGATGAATGAACATCTGTTTATGCATTTTGCACAAAACCCGGCTTTCCAAGTCAGCTACCGCGGGCATCATCACAGAACACTCACTTCGAGCAGAGGGCGCGGGAAAGCCAGTCCAAGCCCTCGTACAAGCCATCCCCTGTTGGGGCTGAGGTTGCCTGAATGAACCACTTGCGATGCTGCATCTTCTGCAGCTCCAGCGCCTTCATGATGTCACTCGCAGACATCGCATTCGGAAGGTCCTGCTTATTTGCCAGCACTAGCAGCACCGCATTCTCCATCTCTGGCTCGCCCAGCATGTGCTGCAGCTCTTCCTTTGCATCGTTGATGCGGTCACGGTCAGAGCTGTCCACCACAAAGATTAGGCCGTCGGTGCCCTGGTAGTAGTGGCGCCACAGCTTGCGGATCTTGTCCTGGCCGCCTACCTGGGTCGCACGTGGGCTTCGACGATGAAGTATGCAAATCTGAACCCCTTGTAAGCACGCAGTACTCTGAACAATCAAAGATAATCACAGTCTTTTCAACAGCGATCGAATCCAGCTGCGTCCCAGACGGTGAAGTTGATGTTCCTGTACCTTCTTGCTACAGAGCCGCAAGCCATGCACCGACAGAGTGAGAGAGGGGCACCAAACGAACCCACAACACAAACAGCCCGAAGCCACGTGCTTACGCATGCTTGCCAATGCTTGCCAAGTGCTCTACGGTCTCGACGTTGAACCTTGGCTGCTCTCAAGGTGGAACATGCCCTGAGCACGAACGCGCAACTTTCCAAATCAAATCGGCAACCGACATCAGCCACCAAGTGGACCAAGCCTAAACTGGGCCTAAACAGCAGAGGAGCCCGACTGTAGGGATGGTCGTCACAACTTCCGACAGCTTCAGTCTGTACAGGATAGTGGTCTTGCCGGCTGCGTCCAGGCCCAACATGAGGATCCGCATCTCTTTGGACCCAAGCATCCGCTGCCACACCTTGCTGAAGAGGAGGCCCATGTCGAGCACCGATGCGAGAGATCGCGAGAGAGGCTGGTGATGCCCTACCGCAAGGCTGGAGCTTGACACAGAAACGCAACGGACAGAGCCTTGGCAGAGCAGGCAGAATCCAAGCATGCGTGAAGGAGCACCTGGTGCTCTGGTATGCTTTTTGTAACATGCTCAACTCACGGAGTCCCTCCCCCTTCCTCTGCATACCCAAAGCGCTTGTGTCTGTACAGAGTGGCCGCTTTGGAGGACGGCGGGAGCAATTGAGACAGCGTGAGGGCCCCCCTCACTGCTCACAGCGAGGCTGCAAAGGCCCAAACTCGCCTGGAGATGAATGAACATCTGTTTATGCATTTTGCACAAAACCCGGCTTTCCAAGTCAGCTACCGCGGGCATCATCACAGAACACTCACTTCGAGCAGAGGGCGCGGGAAAGCCAGTCCAAGCCCTCGTACAAGCCATCCCCTGTTGGGGCTGAGGTTGCCTGAATGAACCACTTGCGATGCTGCATCTTCTGCAGCTCCAGCGCCTGCATGATGTCACTCGCAGACATCGCATTCGGAAGGTCCTGCTTATTTGCCAGCACTAGCAGCACCGCATTCTCCATCTCTGGCTCGCCCAGCATGTGCTGCAGCTCTTCCTTTGCATCGTTGATGCGGTCACGGTCAGAGCTGTCCACCACAAAGATTAGGCCGTCGGTGCCCTGGTAGTAGTAGCGCCACAGCTTGCGGATCTTGTCCTGGCCGCCTACCTGGGTCGCACGTGGGCTTCGACGATGAAGTATGCAAATCTGAACCCCTTGTAAGCACGCAGTACTCTGAACAATCAAAGATAATCACAGTCTTTCCAACAGCGATCGAATCCAGCTGCGTCCCAGACGGTGAAGTTGATGTTCCTGTACCTTCTTGCTACAGAGCCGCAAGCCATGCACCGACAGAGTGCGAGAGGGGCACCAAACGAACCCACAACACAAACAGCCCGAAGCCACGTGCTTACGCATGCTTGCCAATGCTTGCCAAGTGCTCTACGGTCTCGACGTTGAACCTTGGCTGCTCTCAAGGTGGAACATGCCCTGAGCACGAACGCGCAACTTTCCAAATCAAATCGGCAACCGACATCAGCCACCAAGTGGACCAAGCCTAAACTGGGCCTAAACAGCAGAGGAGCCCGACTGTAGGGATGGTCGTCACAACTTCCGACAGCTTCAGTCTGTACAGGATAGTGGTCTTGCCGGCTGCGTCCAGGCCCAACATGAGGATCCGCATCTCTTTGGACCCAAGCATCCGCTGCCACACCTTGCTGAAGAGGAGGCCCATGTCGAGCACCGATGCGAGAGATCGCGAGAGAGGCTGGTGATGCCCTACCGCAAGGCTGGAGCTTGACACAGAAACGCAACGGACAGAGCCTGAGCAGAGCAGTCAGAATGCAAGCTACTTCCGTGGTGGGCTGGTGTAAGACCACATGTCTGCTTGCTCGTGCTGAGTTGTGATGGCTCGAAGGAGCTGCATGATGCTGCAAGATGCCAGAGGATGCGGTGGGCCTGTTGCAGGCCAAAGGGATCGATTCGGTCGATGTTCGACACGTCCATGTTTTCTCTCTTGGATCTCTCGGGCGCCTAGTCACAAAGCGGCGACATTGGCTGCAAACGACTGGGATGCTGTTGGCCTCGGGAGAGGGCGGAGGCGGTGTGGACGACCTGCACTGTCCATAGAATCAACATGAGTCACATGTATCAGGCTGCTCCAGTGCGGACAGGCGCGACCTGCTGCTTGGGGTCACAAAGCTGGTGAGCTCCTTCGACTGTCTGGAGCAAACTGAATCTACGGAGCACGTTAGAGTAAGAGGCCCGCCAGGCCGAGTGCAGCATAGCAACATTGGCTGCCCCTCCCACTGTCCAGGGAGGAGGGTGGCGTTGTCTCAGTTGCGAAAGAAATCCCACCATCGTGGTTTGCCTGGCATGGTCGATGTCGACGTCTGAAGCATGCAAGTGTCCACCCCTGCCCAACCTTTCGGACTGGCGAGAAATCGGCGAGGTCTGTAGGATCTGTTCACGAAGTGTTTCAGGGCGTGCTGTGAGTGGTCGCCGGACAGGAATGAAAACAAAACACTTCACAAAAAGAACTTCACAAACTGCCAGTGGGCCTTCGGCTTGCTCGCAGGCAAAAGCCCTGGCAACAGCTTGTGTCACACTCCGGTGTGAGTATGTTTGTATATGTGTATGTACAGATATATACACATATTTATATAAAAGTAGACTCTATTGGTGCGTGTATATATATATACATGTTTACATGTACATGCTACACACACATATGTATATATATATATATATCACACACACACACACACACACCTAGTTGCAACTACTTGCAACAGCACCTTTTTCGACGGTCGTTTTACAGCACCTTTTTTCCACGGTCGTTTTATGAAACCACAGCTCCGCCTGCCCAGGCCAGCGGAGTCAGGAGTCCCTGGAAATCGGAAAGCTCCAAAGTCCACTGATCCCTTTTGACTGCGAAGACCCCAGAAAGACTTCCAACAATCTCAATCCTTAACGTTCAGCGCCCGAACATGTCCAAGAGACTCCATGGAAGCTCCGCCCTGCTCGGCAAGCACATGCTGCAGATGCAAGCCCTGCACAGGCTTCATGCTCCAGGACAGAAAGCTCCGTTGAAACGACGGCACCTGGACACCTGAGACAACTTCATCTTCCCATGAAGCCAGTGGGGTCTGCAAGTGTGAAACGAAGCAGCTGTCCGGCCCTAAAACTCAGGAGTGCTGGGCAGAGTCCGGACCATTTGGCCATTATCAGATAAATGAACATGCGCGAGTACTTCAGACTTTCTCTGTCGAAACATCATGCGCCCGCAAGCCTCTCTCCTCCTATCTACAAGGATACAAGGTCATGAGCCAATTTTGCGTTTGCTGTGCTGCGCTTGGTGCCCAGCATACATCAGGGAACAACGGCGCGCCAGCAGTGTGCGGGCCCCTCAGATCTTTTCTGCTTTGAGGCTGACCAAGGAGGCCGCCTCGTGGCTGAGTAGAGCCTTGCCGCAATGCGATTGTGAGTCAAATCAAGCAAATCGACTCCGCGTCAAACGCTGCAACCGTCGGCCTCCAGGGTGTCGAGCTGCTCGCTCAGACTGTCCTTTGGTGCCTGGTGAGCAAAAGGGTGCTATGGCAGCTTGTCAAATGACGCCATGACTCGCACATAGCCCTCGGAGCATCCACAAAGTGAGTTACAAGTTGGTTACAAGTCACAACACAAATCAGACAACTAACATTTCACAGCTGACCCCGCTTGCCTTGCCGGCACCACGCCGTCGAGGCCTGGCGGTGTCCGGCCGTGTCCTCAAGGGAGCACAAAGTAGCAAATAAGTCGTGGGACTATTCGGTGATATCCGGTTGATGCTCATGTCTCTACGTGTTCCTTGGTTCATGCTCGTTGCACGTAGTGCTCTATACGGCTGCTTGTTCGGTTCTCCCAATACTCGGCCCGCTTCCAGACTTAGCAGGTCCTGACTGCCACTTTGTCTTGGTAGCGCCTTCTCGGTGCCTCCTCGACGAGGATGGGCTTCAGGCAGTTGATGCTACCAAAGCAGCACCGCAGTGACAGAAGTACGCATCCAATCATGCACTGAATGCACCACTGAAATGTGCCCTGAAGCCACGCAAACGTCAGAGCGTCCAGCGGTGCACACCAGGACTGCGCAGTGCTCTCTGCTGGTTCTGCTGCTCGTCCGGATGAGGGCAGCGTGCCCTTTTCATCCGTCGGATCAGGCTGAGGAAGTTGAGTGTCACATAGCTCTCTTGGCTCTGTTGCTCCAGATCCATTAGGTTCATCTGCTGTAGTACCACCCAGCGGAAGTGCAATCTTATGCTTCTGGATGAAGGTCTCCGTCCTTTCTTTGACTGCAGCAGACTTGGAACTGGCAAGTAACACGAGCGCGCGCTTCTGCACGTCTGAGGTGGGCTCCTTCCGTTCCTTCCCTTCCCTCCCTTCCTTCGCTTCCCTCCCTTCCCTCCCATCCCGCCCTTCCTTCCCTTCCTTCCCTTCCTTCGATCCCAAACGCTCCGGCCGCCTCGAACCTGTTGCCATGCCAGGTACGCCGGGTAGGCCTCCGACGCCCCGTGGACTTCGTGGACTTCTCGGGCTTTGTTGGCAGTTCCCCGAGTTCCCCGAGGGAAGGTCTGAGCTGAACCTGGCTTCAAGCACCGGTTTCCGCGATGTGGCCACACACGCAGCAACAGCAGGAACAGCAGGAACAGCAGGAAAAGCAGGAACCGTGGGAACTGTGGGAACCGTGGGTATTTTGCCGACGCGAGGGTTCTCGCGAGGTGACGTTTCTGGCTTTCCTCTGAAGGGAGCTCCGCCTTCAGTTTGGCTCTTCCTCCTCCGTTTCTCCACGAAACCCTCCATCGACTTTGGATCCAACGCTGAACTCTGACTGCTCTGAGTGCTCTGAGTGCTGATTCGGTGCATGGCCCGGGCGCGGGTCTGCTCACCAGGCAGCCGCCCCGATCCCGTCCGGCGGGCCCGAGGTTCGGAGTTCATCGGGGCACAGAGGCACGCTACGAAACCCAGGCCATTCCGCTACTTTTGGCTACAAGAGGCGCCAAGTCATGGGCTGCAGGGCTGAAGAGTCGAGCAATAGTATAGTACAATCCAGTTGAGTAGCACAGATCTTTGAGGACATTCGTGTGGAGAAGCGAGTCTAGCGTCCCTGACAACATGAAGCGCCCATGCCTTGTCAACGCAAACTCAAGCAAACAAGAAACCCAAGAAATAGTGCCAGCACTGCGGACACTCCAGGCGCTGTCTTTGCCTTGCACACATGAGCTTACCAAGTCTGGACCAAGAAGTGCCCTGGAGTGCAACACAGCGCACAGCTCCTGGAGTGGGCCTCTCAATTTTTGCCAGCAGCTCCAGGTCAATCGGCATGGCGCAAGGTCAATGCATTCTACAAGCTGTAGGCAGTGTGGACGTAGTGCTTTGAAAAAGTAACGTGGAGCATCTATCGGGCAGTACTTCGTAGTCTTTCCTATGCGGCAAGCTTTCCAGCCGCAATGAGCATGCTCCTCAGGGTTCTGCGTTATGCCGGTTTGCTCATGCTCATGTGTAGCCTTTGCTTGGCGTCGTCACCGTCCACCAATTTTAAGCACACCATTGCATCTGTGGCAACATGCTCAGCATTGTCAAGCACTCAGACCAAACCTTGGTTCTCAGAGGGCACGTTTCCAGTAAGCCTCGTCTCCCAAAAGGGCGCTGCTCTCAACCTTACTTTGCAAAGGCAAAACAAGAGCACTTGAGAGAGCCCCTGACGAAAGCGAGCAGGCACACGAGAGGAGGCTAGTGTTGGAATGCGGGTCTGTATGGGTTGCCTTTAACTTTTGAAGCGCCCTCGCTTGGCGTGTTCCAAAACATGAACCAAAAGCAGCAACAAGTTGCCTTCGGCAGCTCTGCTCCCGGAGGGCCTTCGGGATCCTAGGAAGGAAGTCAGTTGGACTGCATATGACGGCATATACTCAGCCTCTGATCTCCACGCCTCCTCCTCCTCCAGCCATTCCTGGCCATCTCCAGCCAAACCTGGCATTGCCTGCATTGCATTGCTTCGGAGGGAGCACGAAACACAGAGCGGCACATAGCGGCACACAGCGGCACATCTCATTCCTCCGTCAGCTTTGCCAGCGCAGTCGCAAGCTCCATCGAACACATTGCCTTGCCAAGCACCAAGCACTAACACACCCCACTGAGAAATCCCAACCTCAGATCCGTCAGGCCCAAAGCTTGCTCGCTGTTTTTGCTACTTCGCGGCGTCGCGGCATGAATGCTGCAAACGAAATGAGAATCTGCTCCTTCAGCCTTCCTGCTTCATAGGTGGCACAATATTGAAAGGCCTATGTCCCTATGTCAACGTATCCTCGAGGCTTTCTTCTTTCTTGACGGAAAACTTGTAAATCAACTAAAACAACCAAGTATTTTGTTCTGAAAGTCTGGTGCCAACGAGCAGCTAATCGATAGCCTGCGCAGCTCAGATCCTGCATGCTTCTGCCACAGCGATGCGCCTACAGCTACATATTCTCAACTAGCACCCACATTCTGATTTGCAGCCAGACTTGACCTGAGCCGACTTAAAAAAGAATTGCTTCAGCAAAACCTGTCTGGCAAAACAGGAAACCAATACCGGCCACAGCTTTCGATACCTACATTGCCAAGACCATGTAAAGACCAATGTAAAGACGGTCAGTGGTTTCCAGCTTTCCCTGGCACCGAGATGTGGCTCAGCCGGATCTCAGAGGCTGCCCTGCCCAAGCATGTGGAAGCAGCTATGGAATCTTGGAACTTGTTAAGAATCTACCGTGTGCTGATGTGTGCTGTACACAAAGATACGCTGCCGTCCTCGTTTCCGCTGCGCTGGCCAGGCTGCCTCTAGCCGAAGAGCTTCAGGTCGTACCTGGCAAGTGTCACACACGCAGGGATACGCAGGGGTCACAGCTTTAACCTTCCGAGATCGGCGGTGCGACGTGCACACCCGAAGCGAAAGGGCACTTGAACTTCAGGGTGCCCATGGGATCCAGCGTCCTGTAGATCATGGCCACCTGTTCACAAGAGCAGTCTAATGTAGGTTAATCCGAGGATGCACTGATGCACTCTCTCCACTTGCTTCGGGTTAGCCTCTTCGCTGGTGCGATAGTTCACGGTGTACATCCAAGCGAAAGGCACCGCCGTCAGCACCACGCAGGCAACGTTCCTGAGCTCACACAGCCAGATCTACAAACCAGGCAGAGTCTTGGAGGAAAGCTGGCAACGTCAACACCTTCAAATCATCCGAAGCGCCAGTTGTACCACTTGACTCGGTCCTGAAACCACATTGGCTGCGCTGGCTGCGGTTCTCCGAAACGAACCGCTCATCTGACTCTGTACGGACTATGACTATGACTAAGCCGACTAAGCCTCCGACCTCTTCCATCATGTTCACTCGGCGTGCAAAGCGGCTCTTCGAGAACTCTGGCAGGTCAATCTGACAGGGCGTCACGTGGTGTCTGTCAAGATCAGAATTTGCCACTCTTCCAAGAAACAACGCAGCATCGCAGCATCGCTCACCTTCATCATGCGCAAGCGCGACAGCTGCAACGCACCGCGGAGCGCCATCCTGCAATGCTGCAATGCTGCAATTGCAGGGAAATAACTTCCGAGGTGCGCATGAGGAACAACAAGGACCGACTCTCACATGGCACCCGGCCTTCTCAGAGCAAAGCCTTGCGTTAAAGCTGTGGAGCCGAAACTGAAAGGCTGCGGGCACGCAAGCTTCACAGCATGTCCCGACAGGCAAGAAAACCATGCTGCCATGATCACTTTGCTGAGCGCATGGGCAGACATCTGAGGACGAAGCTCGATCACAAAAGAGCTCGGGGATGAGAGACTTCAACAGGCGCAGCGCAAGGCTGAAGCGTAGCGAGAGCCCTTTATTCTGCACTGACTGCTGCATGGATCCGCAGCTCACATGTGACGATGTATGAAAACCTCAGAGAAGCGATCCAACCGCCAGCTTTCCTGCGCTGCGAGCCTAACACTCTCTGAATCCGGTGGGCTTTGGTAGAATGCATGACGAGCTCCCCCTACCCCCCACGCTCCACCCCCATGTCCGGGAATGTGCATCATCAAGCCAAGGACATCATTTCTTGGCAATGCTGAGTGTTGCGCCACATATTGTGGCAGTGGTGCCATTGTGAAACTGGCGGCGCAGGTGCCGCTGTATGCGGCGGCGCACAGCCCTATGTACAGTTTTGAGCCGAGCCTCGCAGTATTCTTGCATGGCTCTTGCACTAACACGTCGATGTCATGCGCAATGATGTGCGCAGCATGGCTTTCCATTGCCCGTATATCACTCTTTCTGGCTGGCCAGCCAGGCCCGCTGTTTTCGATAGAACTTCAACGCAGGTGAGGACCAAACCTGAAGATAAACCGCCAAGGATGCAGATCAAAGACAAGTCGTGGTACAACAAAAACCTTCGGGCAGCAATTTGCGCAGCAGCTCAGCTGGTAAAGGAGAAGTTCACGATGACACTATTCGTCATGGCATGCTGGCCCAGCCCAATCACGCGTCTCTCCCTTCCATCGGTTCGGGCACCATTCACACCACCCGTCGCTTTGCTGCTACCCGTTGCTCTTCGATCATTGCCCCCCCCGGTGAACTCAAAACAGCCCCGGCCTTTGATTGTTTGCCCCGGGACTTGCAGATAAATATGTTGCCTGGGCGACCATGTTGGAAGAAACCCGTTTCTTCCGTTTCCATCACCTCTGGCGTTCGTTGTCGTCTTTCCTAGCCCCAGCCCCAGCCCCCAGCACCATGCCAGGACTTGCTAGCCTCCCTGGGGCAGGGGTGGATTTCGCTTGGTTGTTTTCCATGTTTTGGCGGGCACTCACAACTTGCCGAGCGTTGCATGCGCTCATGGGGTGGGAGACAGGGGGGGAATGTTCCTTGATGGTCCCTGCGTAAAGCGCCGGCGCTGTGTCCACCGGTCACCTACTCGCGGGTGCCCCTCCTCGCGCTCAACATCCGGGGAGCATAGTGATGAATGGTAGGCTTTTCCGCTCTTCGCGCTCCGAGCAGAGGGGTGCTGCTCATGTCCTGTTGATCATGGCCTGCAGCCCTTCACTAGCACTTTCCTGCTAGCCTCTGGCGGGGCTAGAGCTGGGCCGCAATGGGCTCATGCGCTTCATTTCCGGGCATCAACCCTCCATCGCTTTATCCTAACACCTGGAGAGCCCTAAAGCCCGACACCCTAACTAGAACCCTAATCCAACCGAATCCACTTACCTGGCGCCTTGGCATTCTGGAACCGCCGACGCCGAAGCCAGTCGCGGCCGCCGGAGGACTTCGCTGCGGGGTCGTTCTGCTGGAACTTGAGGATCTGCGCCTTTGGAGATGCACACACCGTCACACGTCGGCCAAGGCATGGTCTTGGCCATTCTTGGCCCACTATCCTATGCATCTCAATCTCGTGATAACCCCTCAGCTCCGACTGTGCGCCAACTCTACATCCATGACCTCCGTCTGCGCAACCAAGCGGTCCATCTCCTCGAGCAGCGATGATTGGCCCAGATTGGGCATGTGCATGCGGGCGATACTAAACAGAACGGCCTGCCTTGAGGGAGGATGTGCGCACCACGTCGCCACCCTCCTCCCAGCCAATGGCAAGGAATGTCCAGCCCACATCATCCCACATCTTTGAACTGAACACCCGGTTATCGGCGCGAATCTCGCACTCTATCCGCACACCAGCTTCTTGGCTCCTCGCGCAGCCTCCGTGCCAAGGACCCGTCGCGAGGACCAGAGCACCAACGCACTGCATCGTCGCCTTACGCGACAGGTGACGACCCCCACGACCCCCGTTTGTTTGACTCGGAAGAAGCCAGGGCTCGGACCCAAGTGCAACACAAGGTCTCCCCCGGCTATGACCGACTCGCCCCGGTTCGCCAGCAGAGTTGCAACCTCGTTCTTAAAGACCTCTGGCGTGCCCAAAGGGTTGCCATCCAATCCTGAGCAAGAGCACAGCAAAGAGCAAAGCACACTTTACTTTCGACTCTTGAGAGCTGGGGCACGTATAATATCAAGATCGATCCGGCTTTCGCAGAGTGCGCTAACCAGGTTGAGTGCCGTCGGACCGTCAAGCTTGTTGCCTGGTGCATGGGGCGCAGTCAACTCACAAGCACAACCGTCTGCAACTCCAGACGTCACAGCTTCAGGCGTTGTCCTGAGGCAGAGGGGCCTGCAAGGTCCAGGATCTGCAATGCCCGCAGGTTTTTGACCGTGTGGAGAATTGCCTGCGCTTTGGAATCTCGAACTCCGAGCAGGCAAAGTGTCTTGTAGTTGGCACGACCATTGCCTTAACATCCACTACACTGCGCAATGCCTTACAGCGGTCCGGGAAAGTTGACCGTTTCGGTCGGGGGGCCTGAAGCCCCAATGGACGCACAGGACTCAGGAACTTGACGAAGTGGAACAAAGGGGTCCATTCACCCCTTTTGAGCGCATGGATTTTGGAGCCACCAAAAGGCAGCAAAACCGCTCTCAAATGATGTATGTCCAGAAAGAATGCTTAACCAAAGTATGTGCCTGAAAACATCATCCAAAGTGGCTTCCGTCGGACCTCCGCCCCACTGACAAGTTTGTTCAAGCAGAACCAAGGCAGCCAGCGGCCATCAAATTTATAATGCAACAAGCTTTGCACTTAGGAATGTTAGGCTTAGTTTGGACCCATTTGTAAGCAGAGGCGCTTGGCAGCGGGAACCTGCAAGTCCAAACGCTTCGAGAAAGTTTCTTCGTATTGCCCGTTTGAACGATACCCCGAATGATACCTACGATGTCCCGGTTGCGCATTCCACGGACCAAGCCCCCGTCGACATCGATCCTGCACCGCCAGATCCCCTACAGACCTCTGGTTTGCAGGGCAACTTCCATCTCTCAGGCAATGCTTCCACCCAATGGTCGACTTTCGAAGATGTTTAGCGTTTTGCCTGGCCGCAACCAACAACGTCAAAAACCCAACGCCCGACCACGTGACCGGCCGGTGCGCACTTCTGCAGCCGCCAGACCCCCTACCTAGCGCTGAATGTCCTTTGGGTGGGACAGCACGGACGCACGCGCGCGCGCTCAGATTGCAGCAGTCTCCTGCGCCCGGCCACTTCAAAAGAGCAGTAACGCCGCCAGCTACCAACGATACCGCGCCACCCGACTGGGGTGCTTCGTGTGAGGATGTTGTCAGGAGGAAGGGTGTGCAACAGCAGTGAGGAGCGCCGTGCAGGGCTGCTTGACTGGGAGTTGTGCAGGCGGCGGCGGCATGGCCTTTAAAGTGCTGGGTAGGCGTGTCTTCCACCTGCCACTACGCTGAATGGCCCACGAGATTTTGGGAAAAGCCGGCACGGGGGGCAGAAGGCCAAGACTAGATGAGAAATCCCCGGTTGGGGTTTTGCATGGCTGCGGGGTGGCGATGCATGCCACATTGCTACTCTTCATGTTGCCGAGCCTACGCACTTGCCGTTGATCGCTGCTCTTCTGAACATGTCGCAAGCCTCCAAGTGTCCTGGGTTGAGATCACAGTCCTCCAGGTCGAGGGTCTTCACCGTATCGCCGGCCTGGGTCTATGGAGCTTCGTCGGCAGCTGTACACTCCACACGCATTCAATCACCGAGGCGTCGGCCAAGGTTAAGAGAGACAGCGAGTCCTGCACAAAATCCGAAACATGGGCATCATAAGCCAAGAACCACCAAATAAAGTGTTGCAACATACCTTCTTGAGAAGTGTGACTTTGAGCTTCTAGCTGGCCTAGCTAAGCTCACTGGCTAAGAACCAGATACCCCGGATTCCTCTGTCACGAAGCCTGCATTTCCCTCCAAGCTGATGGTGCGCAGCTTTGGGCCATAGTGGAGGAACATCTGCACAACATCTGCACAACATCTGCACAATATCTGCACAGCATCTGCGCACCATGTACGCAGGCAAAGTTCGGGCCTCCATCATGCCTTCCAGTAGAATGCCGCCAGGATGAAACCGAACCTCATCTGCACACGAGCATACAGCGCAGCTCTCTCTGACAGATGGCACCTCTGGGTGACCGGCGTTGACTATGTCCTCCTAGCGGCCAATCAATGAATGCCTATCGCCTATCAACACATCGACAGCATGTTGGTGCGCTGAGACTGCAATCTCCTCAAACGCCATTGCGGCGTAGAGAAGCCTGTTATGCGCATTCATAGGTAAGGTGAAGCCTATGCTGAGCCCATGGGTGCTTTCGGGAGAACTGAAACAGGTCCGAATGGCCCAGTGCTTCCGTGAAGAGCTCCAGGCAGCCCGTCCTCACCAGAGCTGTGAGAGCCAAACGACCGTCAGGTTGCTGAGAGACATCGAGTTGGAAAGGCTGCGCAAGAGGCAGCACATGAGAACGGTGCCGCAGTGTTTGGAAGCGCCTCCTGGTGGGCTTTGCCGAGGTCCTCCCCCCGCTCGACTTTGCTCCGGATCTGAGAGGCACAGGGGCATGCATCCACTCTGACTCTGACCCACTACCCGATGGCTGTCAAAACTTCATCACTTTAGGAATGTTCAAAAGATCCTGTTACAATCCACTCCCCTTTTTGACTTACCCTCAAACAGCACTCTAGCTGCTTGGAGGTAACCGGTAGACATCTGGCGCAAGCCACAATGTGAACCTCACCGAACCCAAAGGTCAGCCTCTGGGTCATCCAGGTCGAAGTCAGGCCTGGCGTTGTCCATCGTAACTAGACACTCCTTGAAAGCGCCTCGTGGGTCCCTCCGAGCGCCGCTCGGAGGAGGAACCTCAATGTGAAGGATGGGCCTTAGAGAGGGCCCACAAGGGTTCAGGGGATCGACCCACACCCGCAAGCACTTTAAAGGGCTCCGGCCCAATTACCGGCGACTTGGAGTGAAGGTTCATGAGCGGCATCTTCTCTATCTGGCACGGCTGCAAACGTTCCAGGGACGTGGGGGCAGGCAAAGGCAAGTCACATTCAGCACCGGCCTGAGTGTACCACTCATGCCTTTCCAAGATCATGCGGGGAACCTGTGGCCGATTGCGACTTCACTGACGGAGTGGGAGATCCATAGAACAAGGCCCTTGGAGCTTAGTGGCAAAAGTGATGTTTTCTTGTCACCCCACAAGTGGACCCAACCAGCACGAGGAATTTAGCTGGTTGCGAAGCAGTTCAGCTGACCCTGAAATGAGAACTTCGGAGATGGTTCTCCCATGCCTCCGGAAGTCTGAGGCGCTTGTGGGGAGTACCTCGACAGTCTGGGCTTTACACTTCGTAAGTGGCAGCTCTTTCGGCACTTACAGCTCCTTGGTACCTTACAGTGCCCAAAAACTGCTAATGACGCCATTTCCGTGCGTTAGCCAGCTTCTCGCTTGCCATGTGACGCTCTCTACCTTCCGAGGGCGGCCGCCCCGAAGGCCCGAAGGGCGCGAGGTGCGAGACCGTTGTTGGCCCCGTCATTCTTACTTTCCCGAGATCAACCTGAGGAGTTGTGGGGACAGGGAAAATGATCCGAGAAGTGGGTGGTTCATCGCTTACCGGCGCGGGGTTTTCTGCCCAGACTGGGCTGTCTTGTTTCCTTTGTATCCATGCCCTCGCGGCCGCTATCTCTCGTCACCATAATTGTTGGCGCGGCTCCCTCCCCCCGGCTTCTTGCACTCGGTAGCCGTCGCCGCAGCACCGACATTGCTTCGTGGTCCGACTGGAGAATGTCCATGGGGGGGCCGCCGGTTGCTGTGTGTTTCTGCTGCACCTTGGTTTAGGTGGACTGTGCATGCGGGGAGAGCGCCGGGTGTAGTGGGCCCTTTCGGGCGGTTGGCTCTCTTGCGGTGCGCAGAGGATCAGCTGGTGCGCTTCTGTGGCTCGTTTGGTGTGTGAGAATGTGTTTCCGTTGGGCCCTCGTGGCGGTGTTGTCCTGATGCTGTTGTTGGTGTTGGTTGACCTTGGCTCTTCTTCTGCAGAGCAAGGGGGAGGTCCCCCACGCACCAGGTGCGTACGAGGATGAGTCAGGTCTGGGTGAAACGATGTAAGAGTCACTCACTCTCTCTCTCTCTCTCTCGCCCTCGCTCTCTCGCCCTCTCGCTCTCTCGCTCTCTCGCTCTCTCGCTCTCTCGCGCTCTCGCTCGCTCGCTCTCTCGCTCTCTCGCTCCCTCGCTCTCTCGCTCTCTCGCTCTCTCGCTCGCTCGCTCTCTCGCTCTCTCGCTCTCTCGCTTTCTCGCGTTCGTTCTTTCGTTCTTTCTTTAGTTCTTTATTTCTGTGTTTATTTATTTCATTCCTTTCTTTTTCCTTCCTTCTTTATATTTATTTTATTTCCTTCTCGTCATTTTTTGTTTTTCTTTATTTCTCTTCCTTTGTTTCTTGATTTTCCTTTCTTTTTTTTATCTTTTTGTTCTTTCTTTCTTCTGTCTTTATTCATTTACTTTTATTTTATTTTCCTTTTTCTTGTTCTTGTTTTTTCTTTTTGTTCTTCCTTTTCTCTTTCTTCTTTTCTCTTTTCTCTTTACTCTCTACTCTTTTATCTTTTCTCTTTTCTCTTTTCTCTTTTATCTTTTATCTTTTATCTTTTATCTTTTATATTTTCACTTTTCTCCAATTTGTTTCTCTTCTTTTCTTTTCTTTCCTTTTTACTTTATTTATTTCTTTCTTTCTTCGTGGGGGCATGGGGCAAGCCCCGGGGCGTTTTCGAACGCCCCGGGTGTACGGGACCGTTGGAGTTGAGAGAAGGCCCCCACGCTGTCCGCGCGGTCAGAGGTTCTCTCTCTCTCGCTCTCTCCCACACGCATAGCCCCCCGCGAGAGGAGGCTGCCCCGAAGGGCGCGCAAGAATCCACAGTCCAGCTTGTGAAGTGCCCCCCCATGGTTCATAGGAACTCTCTTTCTTTCTTGGGCGCATGAGGGCCTCTCTCTCTTCTTATTCTTCTTCTACGGGGCATGAAGGGGACGAAACCCCCCCCGCGCGCGTAGGCGCGCCCAGCTCACGCGGTCCGGCCTTCTTCTTCTTCGGGGCATGAAGGACGCTGACGCGCCCTCCGCGCACGATGCACGCCCGTTCGATGTCCCAGTCGGAGTGAGATGTATGTGCCCAAGGAGACAACAGGCTACACAACAGCGGTGACAAGCTTAGATATGACTGACCACTCTCCTGTGTTCCCCTTCTTAGGCATGTGGTTGTAGCAAGGGGGAGTCAAGCACTCTGTACAGGAAGTCCACAATCGTCTTGCTAACGACTCTTCCCCTTGCCAACTGAGCAGCCTCCTCGGTCCGGCCTCTCTCACTCTCTCTCTCCTCTCTCTTCTCACTTCTTCTTCTTATTCTTCTTCTTCTTATTCTTCTTATCTTCTTCCTCTTCTTCTTCTTCTGCTTATTCTTGTTTTGCTCGCTTCTCTCTCTCTCTCTTCTTCTTCCTCCCCGTCACTTCACTTCACTTGGGGGCTTGGGGGCTTGGGGGCCGGAGCCCCCCGCACGATCCGCGCTCCCCAGCAGTGTGGAGCGGTGGCATGGTGACACGTGAGCAAGGAACCAGTGGTGATGGGGAATTAAGTGCCCCCCTCTCTCTTTTTCTTCTTTTTCTTCTTCTTTTTCTTCTTCTTATTCTTCTGATTATTCTTCTGATTATTCTTGCGCTTCTGCTTCTACTTCTACTTCTACTTCTACTTCTACTTCTACTTCTACTTCTACTTCTACTTCTACTTCTACTTCTACTTCTGCGCACTTAACCTCCCCCCATTGAGGTCTCTTCTTCTTCTTCTTCTTCTTCTTCTTCTTCTTCTTCTTCTTCTTCTACGGGGCTTGAGGGGCCCAGGGGACCCCCCGCGCGCACGGGCGCGCCCTGGTCACACAGATCCGTTGGCGGGTGAAATTCGGACTCACACTCTACCCAGCGCGACATACTCCCCCGAGAAGCCTTGGAAGCCTTAGTGAGTCCTTAGTGGGGAGTATGTTGCCCTGTGTGAGGGTGATGTGTAGTGAGACTGCCCCATGCTCCGTCCGACAACGAAAGGTTCCCCCGAAAACGACCCCTTCGCCAGTACGCTAGTTGTTGATAGCAGCAATGCCGTTCCTTCTATCAAGCTCAATAGCCTGATCATGATACTGTTTAGGAGTATCTCCTCAAGAATGAGTATACTGAACATCCAGTCAAATGGTACATGAAGCATGTCTGCAGAATGCAAAGCCTAAGCTCTTTTCCGTGCCTCGGACTGGCCTCGTGCATGCTTGAGCCACCGTAGTGGCGGGTGCCCGGAGGTATCCACTGCACACATGATGAGCAGCATAAACTGTTCTTCAATTCACACCCCCGCTGTGTGGTGGATGCCTTCTAAGGGTCCAAAAGCAGTAGACTGCATACTCCTATCATAACGCAGTCTGAGTGATGATTGTTTAAAACAACTCACTACTGAGCACTGCAAACCCTGGGCCAAAATCAAAACATCTTGAGAGCATCAAACGTCTATTGACGACTCCAGCTCTCGATTAGCCGGCTCAACTGTTTGTAGTTGTCTTACTTCATGTTGTTCCTTTCGTCCGGACACCGTGCAGTAGGTAATGCGGATGAGGGTATCTTCAAGGACCTTCCGCACTGCATCAACTTGTGCACCAGAAGTACTTAATTTTGTGAGACCATCTGCCAACATATGAGAACCGTTCACCCAGAATGTCTGGAACCCGTAATCTACGACAAGGTCAAAAAGGATTTGGTATACAAGTGATTGCATTTTAACGCCCTGCCTGGTGGAGGGTTTCTCGGTTTGAATCGAGTCGTATAAGCCTCGATTATCCGTTACTAGAGCCCGAACAACCTGGCTACCAGTTAGCTTATTCTTTACCTGCTTCGCTTTCAAGCCGAAAAACACTTGCTCATACAGGAGCATTAGGTTTATGGAAGCATCAGTCGAAATCGTTGCTGCTTGTAGTTCTGACGCGTAGCTTGACCACACCGCCCGGTCGATCTTGCAGCTCGAATAATCCGCTAAGACTGCTCGAACCTCTCTACCACTCAAAACTTCCTTTGGGGCCCAGAAAATCATGGTACCGGATTGAGAGTGACCAGAAGGCCGTGCGGTGTGGCCGGCATCGGAAAATACCACCAGCGTCAGATCATACCAACTTTCAGCTACCTTTGCGAATGTGATGCTGTAGTCGCGTGCTTGTAGCGTTCTGACGATCTTGTTCAACGAGACTAGATGCTGTTGCTCGGGACGGGAACCATAAGAGGCAAAATGAGAGACATCATACGCGACATCCGGTCTCGTGTTGACAGCAACCCAAAGCAAAGCTCCGAGCTGAGACCAATACTGTGTTTGGCCTTCCTTGTTCAACGGACCCTCTGCCAGCCTACGAGTGGGAACCTCCTTGAGTTTAGCGACGTAATGGGCTTGGTCTATTGCAATTTCACGAGTCTGCGGGTGTTGTTTTACATTCAACCCAGTATACAGGACAGGCGCCATGTCAGCGTACTTTCGTTCCCCGAAGGGAAGTCGCGCCACGAGCTTAGCCATCGCCTCTTCGAATCTGGGATCAACACTAGCCGAACAACCCGCAACTAAAAGATCATCTACGTGAGCACCTACTATTCCTAGAACCCTGTCTTCGCGACGAAACACATAAACACATCTGTCAGCCGGCACCTGTTCGAACCCACACGTTTCAAGCTCTGAGGTTAAACGCCTATACCATGCCAACGGGGCTTCGCTCAAACCATATGGCACTTTCTTTATCCTTGCTATAACATCGGCGTCCCCTCCTAGCTCTTCAACAAGGTCCCTGGGTAACTCTGTGTATATGGGTTTGGTGCGTGAGGTCTTATCTCCTGCGAGGAAAGCTGTTTTAGCGTCCAGCGTGAACACTCGGTATTGGAAATGACTTGCTAGAGTAAAGATGGCGTGTCGACCTTGCCTGGACAATGTGGGACTAGCAGTGCTAAACTGACCCAGATCTGGATCTCTAAAACCTCTAATCACCAACCTGGCCTTAGCTTTAGCCCCCCCAGGGCCCTGATACACTTCACCGGGAACCGTCTTCCAAGTAAGAACCCAACGGGAAGCAATCACACGCCTAGGGTCAACGCCATACCTACTTACAAGCTCTACAACGTCATTACTAATCCACTGTGACCACTCAGCAGCCTTGGCTGCCCGAAACATTTCCTTCTCCTCTGGTGTGAGGTGGCGCTCAGAAACTTCCACCGCCCGCTTCCTAGCCATAGACGCATTTAAGGCCATCTCTCGCACAAGATAGCAAACTGACATTTC